AGTACAGGCAATTACATGACAAACTATGGATTCCATGTGTCCACTATATGATTGCTTTTCCTTGAATGCAGTTTGCTCCTTTTGTGAACTAATATTTTTTGGGTGTTATAACACAATGTAGATTGTAGCTGTTCAATGCTGATAACATAGCATAAAAAATGTGTCTACACTTCGGCAAGGTATTCTATATTGCACTTTATTTTATGTTTACATGACACTTCTTATTTGGTGGTAAAATGTGTTTTATATGTGATATGATGCACTGCTTATCTGGGGGTATACTCCTCTTGCTTGGTTCCCTGTATATTCCCTTTTAGTGATATTTCTCTTGTAAACCTTTTGCTACTTGGTGTCAGACACTGTGGTCTGACAGCTATTGATACAAACTATGTAAGCAATCTTGTAATTTCAGTGATATTAACTGTGGGAGAATTTCTCAGTGAATGGTATATATGATGTCACTTTGATATTCACAATTTTGTGTATAAGTAATGGATGAATGTGTTAGGGTATGTGTTTATGCACCATTAGATTTTAATCTGGCACCACTGCTCTTGGGTGATTGCTTTGAGCTCTCCCTGGGGGATTACTTTGGACTAATTGGTTGGAACAGGTAACGTGATTTTTGCATTTTGGGTATTTAAGGGTGTTTGTAGTTAGTAACGGTTATCCTGATGAAAGTCTTTGAGTCCAGTGAGAGCTCTTCATGACCAATATATATTTGTGTTAGAGGCAAATAGCCGTATATGGAGATAAGGTTCCAGTATAAGCATAGGATAGTATAAAGGGAGCAAGTCGGTTGTGGTGTGCCGAGACCGACGATACGGTAGGCCCACCAAGGAGTTTAGAAAGTAAAGTAATTGGAAAGAAAAGAGAAAGTGTTGAAAATGAGGAGTGGTGGGAGGGTCATTTTGATGCTGACCTCAAGCGATATGGAGTCAGGTAGGGGGCGTCCCTTATATAGGGGAGTGAATTAATTTAAGCCCCTCCCACAATTACAGGCCAAACGGCCTTAATACTTGTGTTGGGGCAAATAGCCATATATGGAGTAAGTTTCCAGCATAAGCGTAGGATAGTATAAAGGGAGCAAGTCGGTTGTGGTGTACCGAGACCGAAGATACGGTAGGCCTGTAAATAAAGAGGGCAAAAATTAATAATCAAAGATTTAATACAGTCAACAAACATATACGAATTAACCAGACACTCCTTAAATGCATTATCTAATTCCTGGAAGGATTTTGAAGGTAGGAATCTAGGACTGCAACTCGTTTTGGAATGTGGTAGAGCCAATAGGTAGTGATCTATGTGTTTACGTGATTGGGATCGTTATAGACAATAATCTGTCTGAGTGGTGGTGATGGTAGTGGATTCTCTTGGCCTGAGAAAGGCATGGAAGGCTGTGTACATGGCCGGTAATGGCCAAATTGGTAGTATAATTAAACGGTTGTAGATCTAATAGGTCAGATAAGGATGGCTATTGGTAATCTCTGATGGATTCCTGAAAACCTCTGAGTATATTCTTGTCTGTTATGATGGCATGAAGTTATGGTAGTTTTGGCAATAGGGTTAGCATGTGGTGTTGAATGCCTGTAAAATATATAATTTAATGGTGTGTGAGATAGTTCCAGTTTAAAATGGCAAAAGAAGCAAAACCTAGGAGAGATGTTATGACATTGGTTGAGATATGTTGTGTTCCAATAAGAATCTTTAAGCAAGGTGAAAGCTGTGTTATGCGTTCTACAAGTATGGGACGAAAGTGTTAAGTGGGATAGTGCATGCTATTTCTGCATGAGTATGTCTAATCCATGATTTAGTCTTTGGAACGAAAAGGTGGCCGTGACTGTATGGGTGGCTGTAGGAAGTGTATGATGAATATGCCTGGAATATAAATGAGACAATTGTTGGCAGGGATGTTGCCACTGCCTGGTACATGACGAGGAGGAGTGTCAGACAACCCCGGGAGGAACATGCTTTTACCATGCCAAGTGGCCAAGAAATTCCTCCCCCTGTGCAGGTCTGCTGTGGATAGGGTATCTAGGGACATCCTCTGATCGTCATGATGGAAGTGTGAAGAAAGGGGGAAGTAGTCTGGATATTAAAGCGTGGTCTTGTGGTAATATTCGCATGGAAAAATTAAGGAACCTGGTAGGGATTGTAATTCCTTGTGGTTGCAAGTACTAAGCAGGAAGTAGTGATGTTGTAGTTGAGAATGTTCCCTATCTGTCTTGTGGTAACTTGCGTGTATGGATGCTGAATTAAGTCGTATGCCCAGTAATGTGATGATATTGTCTGGGCCTTCTGTTTCTTATGGGGTACTGAGACGCCCAAGTGGTCAAGAGACTTGGCTTCCGTGAGGCTTCTAGTGAAAAAGGTGTTATCCTCGATCAACAAGAAGTCATCTAGATAGTGTATGACTGTAAGGCCCCTGGATATGTTATCATAACCAGCACAGAGTATCTGTGAATATCGATAGATGGCTAATTTGTAGCCAGAAAGTTGAGCGGGGAAAGGATTAGTAACTGCCTGCCCATTTAATGCCATGTAAGTGCCACTGTGTAGGGTAGATGGTAGCTGTTGAATGTGTTGATGATATTGGTCTTACTTAACCAAGCTTCCACTCATGCGTGAGTGGAGGAAATGC